TCTCTCTCTCTCTCTCTCTCTCTCTTTCTCTTTCTCTCTCTCTCTCTCTCTCACTCTCCCTCTCCCTCTCCCTCTCTACCTCTCTGTCCGTGTGCCATTGCTGCTGAATGGAAATACGCACAGATGCGTAAAAGGGGCGGTCAAACTCCATGGATCCGCCGGTCGTGGCAGCAGCAGCAGTAGCTGCATCACCGCCGACCTCAGTTCCCCGTCTGTAGACCGGAGGACTCGGAGGAGAACAAACTGCGGTTTTTGGACCTCATACGAAACCTCGAACCACGAACCAGATTGGAGGAGACCACCTGTTTGAAACCGGACGCCGTTTGTCTGGATCACCCCTGGATCAGTCGGACGCAGTCAGCGCACACAGAGAACCCGAGGAGGATCCGTCAAGTCCAGCCTTGGATGAACCGATCTGAGCTTTTATATAGTATATACATATATATGTGTCTTTCTTACTGAGGCAGCAACAGCCCGAGGAAACGTCTAGATTTGCTTACTGTGGTAATTGTTACATTTCTGAAAGACTTTCCCCCCCTAATTCCCCCACCCCCCCTCTCTCTCCCTCCCTTCCCCGTCGTCTCCCGGTTAGGAGCTTCCAGCTTTGATGCCACTTAGTCTATAGTGCCGAAGTCTTACTAATTAGCAGCTTGATTGACAGCCCTGTAATTGGATTTATTTCATATCCGCTTCTTGAAGTTCTGAATCCTCTTAAGGCGCGACTGGAGTAGTTTCTCAGGCTTCATTTCTGCGGAAAACAATGAAAACACAACTACTCAAGATTCTCCTTTTTTGAGGGTTTATTCATACGCAGTTACGTGCCAGAATTTCAATACTTTTCAAGTTATTCCTGGTGCAGCATTAAAGAGCAGAATAAAGGACGTGGCAGAGGAAAAGAGGTTTATATTTGATGTTTCACAAGAAAGTGCATCATTATTTTAAAAAAAGAAAACAAATGTGGCATCTTGTGGAAAAATTCCAATTCCAGTGTCCTTAGTTAACACTGCAGCACTATAAAATAAAACTGGTGTATTTTGGAGAATGGTTTAGAAAACGTGGTGATATGGGTTTGTTTGCAGAATTCCATCCAGTTCCATCAGGTTTCAGTGTGTATTACCCTTATTATACTAGTTATAAGTTCATTAATTCAACACCCAAACACTAGATCGTTCATTATTTTTGGAAAATACACACCACCCTGAAACAACACTTTGGCTGGAAGAGCAGCATCTAGACTATTTTTATAACCCGTTAAAACGATTATTTTAAAATCTTCAAGTTTTGCATAAAATGCAAATAATGTAAAATATACAAATGTTTCTTCTTTTTCGGAAAGTGACGTTCCATTCACTGTGGCAGTGGAGATAAAGAACCAGAATAGAAGTAGAAGTAGAAACCTTGCACAGTTTAAAACAGTTGCCACATGTTTGGTTTTTTTTTTGTTTTGTTTTTTGTCAGGGGGGCTGGAGGGGTTAGTCATTTTATCATCAACTGGTCAGATAGTTATTGACTTTCCCTCCCTCCTTCCTTCCTTCTCGCCATCTCCCTACCTTCCTTTGTTACAGCTTGTTTCCTTCAAGTACTGAAAAAGAAGACATTTCTTTCCTGACAGTGAGATGTACTGTCTACTCTTTAGCAGCAGAAAATGTTGTACTTGTACCGTAATATTTTTCCTCTGTTCTATCAGTTTCTTTGTATTTGCTTTGAAAACGTCGGTGTCTGAAAAGGTTCTGGGGGTCAGGAGGCTTTAGTTTCTGAGAGAGGAAAAATCCTGTTGGTCACGCAGTGGGTTATGTCTGTCTGATCGTGATGAGCTGCATGACTGCAAATCCAGCTGCCTGGGAGGCATCACCGTGGGGATAAAAGCCCATTTTGCTGCCTAAAACCCTAAACCTGTTGCCACACCTCAACACCGGGTAGCATCTGTTGGTGCACTTTCTCACACACTGTCTGTCTTCAACAGTAGCGCCACAGCTGCTCACGCCTCAGATCTATACGACTCTGAAACCACTATGTATTGGGACCACTGACGTCTTATGGCTTCTCTCAGTTCTTCTTTCAGGTCTCTAGTAACCTTCGCCTGCTCTTGTCCTGGTTTTACAGGTACCACGGGTGGTTTATTGGAATGTCATTCAATCAATCATCTTGCAGTGTGTGTGCGTGTGTGTGTGTCTGTGTGTTTTCCTGCTTTTTAAATATTGACTGCCAAATGCCCAGTGCGCTGTATGGCTTTTTATTCCTATCTGACTGTACTGATGGTTCATATAGGGATGGAAGCCATGCACTGCGCTGGGAGCCTAACGCTCTCGACGATAGACTCAATCCTTGCTGCCACACACATACCACCCCCCCCCCCCCCCCCCCAACCCCCACACCACAACCACCGTCAC